GAGATTATGTTTCAAACTTAAGGTAGAATAAAGATATAAATAAAGACTCAGATAATTTATTGCTAGCAAACCCTCCTTAAGAGAAGTGCCAAGGGAAGTCTGTTGGGCTGGAAGAAAATGACATTAGTCAATAATGCAAATCCACAAGAAGAAATAGGTAAACACATAGGTAAATGTGAAAGACATAAATATGTATTTTCTTCTTTATTGAGCTGATTTTAAAGGCATAAGATTGCAGAGAATAATTATAAACTCTATTATTGTTTTAAGCTGTAGTATATAAAGATCTAACATATTATAACAATAGTAGCACAAAAGAACAAGGGGGAAATGGAACTGTATTGGAGGAAAGTTTCTATATTTTGCCAGAATTTTTAATATTAATATGAAATAGATTATGATGAGTCAACGATGCATGTTTTAATCTTTGGTGCAAACATTAGAAAAATAATGCAAAGAATATAGTAAGAATGCCAGCAGAGGCATTAAAATGGTACACTTGAAAACATCTGTTTACTCCCAAATGCTTTCAATCTCATTGGGTCCTCACATTATCTTGTGAGGGAGGACCAGTTTCAAAATGAAGGAACTCAGACTCAGAGAACTTGCAAATACTAATAAGTGACAAATATGAGATTTGTATGCAGGGAGGTTTAGACCTTGCTTATAACTATTATACCATCATGCCCTCAGCTGCCCATGAGGGTCAGAAACAGGAGACGCCCAATTCCCTATATCGGATTCTTAAAGATGTGCCAGCAGACAGGGTCAGGTGCTGCGATTCTGTGGAGAGGGTGGAGACGTGTGCCTGCCCCCTGCATGCTCATGAAAGGCCCGGGGGACAGAGCCTGAGGCCGGGTCAGAGCAGTCGGACAGTGGCTCTTTTTAGAGCTGAATTTTGGGTAATTTTGAGCTGAAAAATAATCAATAACTATTTTTCATCATGAAACCATGTTTCATTTATGTCAGTCCTTTGGGAAATTTCAGTAGCTAAGGTTTAGTAATTTGGGCTTCCTATGTTGTTTGGGCTTAATCTTCTTTAAAGGGTAATTCTAAATGAGAAAAAAAAACACAATAAAAAGCTGCAGCTGTTATCTCATTAGTACTTGGTGGCCATTTTCCCCCCTAAAGGACAGATTTCTGAGAAGGAATTCTAGCCTATCATACCCTCCTGGCAAGGGGGCGTGTTTGGATCATCTATTGCTATGCAATGAACTCCTACAAAACTTCCTGGCTTAAAGCAGTAATCATGTTATATGCTGGAACATCCAAGATGGCTCTATTGCATGACTGGACATTGACCTGGGCGGTTGGCTGAGCTCAGCTGAAGCTATCCATTAGAGAGTCGCAGTTCATGTGGCTACTCCGTGCAACATGGGCATCGCCCACCATGGCAGCTGGACCCTTGCAGCAAACCAAGAACAAATGTTTTGAGAGAGAGAAATAAGAAACTTCCAACATTCTTGAGGCACGGGCTCGGAAGCCCCAGAATATCACTTTTACCACATGGTATTGGTAGAAAAAGTCACAAGTTAATCCCAGATCCAAGGGAAAAATAAGGTGCACCTCTTGATGTGAGGATGAGCATAAGCCTACTGAGAGGGGAGGAATCATTGGGGCCACCTCTGGAGACCAGCTACCACACTGGATCCTTTGGTTCCACAGCCACGTAGAGCTCTGCTCACCACCATGCAACACTGAGGAATGTGACCGATCGGAGTGACTCGGTGGCCTGAGCCAGAAAACACACTTGGAGGCCTGTGCGTAGTCAGAGGCGTCCCACCTTCTGAATACCCTACACTGTTCCCCTCCACCCCACAGGCAGAGGTGAGCATATGGGTGGGCAGGTGCGTGGGTGCATACATACATCCTGGTACATACTGTGGTGAATCCGCAGGAATCAACATGGGATCTAACAGCCTCCTTTTCTTGCTGCTTTGGAGGCTCTTTCACTCTTCCAAGGCCTTGTTGCCTAGCAACTTTCACCAGCTTCCTCCCATCGAAGACTCTTTGGAGAGAGTGCCACGCGGTGGCGAGGTATGTTCTGTGGGACCTCTCCGTTTGCATTTGCTTTACCCAGAATGCAAGTTAACCAGACTCCAGGATGTTCCTGAAACAGTGAATCAAGGACCCGAGGGAATGAAAGGCATGTTTGTGATGTGGAATCCTATTTTAGCTAACTCGTTTATGAGAATTTCGGCACGCTCTAAGCCACCCTTCTACTATCAAGTGCCCAGAGGCAAATACTACCGGCCCTGCCAACTATACAGGGCACCTGTGAACCTCCAATGAGATTGCATGTGTGAAGTGATGGCTTGGTATCACCAATCTCCTGTTTAGGAGCTATAGCCTTGGAATATCGAGCCACATAGGAGGGCAGAAATGCCACACGGGTGGGGAGAAGATGAGCATTTGATTGATGCGGCAGCCAGATTTCTGGCTTCCGTGTTTGTGATGCGGAACCCTATTTTAGCTAACTCGTTTATGAGAATTCCGGCACGCTCTAAGCCACCCTTCTACTACCAAGTGCCCAGAGGCAAATACTACTGACCCTGCCAACTATACAGGGCACCTGTGAACCTCCAATGAGATCGCATGTGTGAAGTGATTGCTTGGTATCACCATGCTCCTGTTAGGAGCTATAGCCTTGGAATATCGAACCACATAGGAGGGCAGAAGTGCCACACGGGTGGGGAGAATCTGAGCCTTTGATTGATGCGGCAGCCAGATTTCTGGCTTCCCCGGGGAAAGGCATAAAAATCTCCCCCAGGGCAACATCTTATAATTCCTTCTCAATTTCATCATTTTTAAAAAACCAGTACTGAATCTCCCGTAACAGCAACAGGGCTGAGAGAAATATTCTTAAGAGAAGTGGGGGAGTCAGCCTGCACCATGACCTTCGTGTTCGAATGTGTTTTTTCCTTGTGAGTTCTGGCATTTCATGAAATTCTTCCTGTAAACCCTCAAGTAATTGGGTCTTGTATGCCTATCCAGCTTCATGTATCAGACACACAGCCCGGGTCCCACAGACCCTCACGTCACAGGGAAAGCTATGGGAGGTAGGTTATCACATGTGCCTTGAACAAATCAGGAATTGCAGGAGTCTGGAAAAAAAACAGTAGAAACAAACTAACTCAAGCGTCTTTGATTGCAGACCTCTGGCAGTTGAGCAGTGAATCTAGAAAAATTTTCCCTTTATTGAAACTTCCTCCACACAAATTCTTTATCATTGAAAATGCCTATTGCTTTCATTGTGATCCTTGTGTCCACAATTCTAAATAACTAGGAAGATGACAGAAAGAAATGGTCCTATCATAGTTTACAAGAGGTACAACAATGTACAGGGCAAGACTCTTAGTTGTAAGTTATAGAAACTCGACCCATTCATTCATCCACTTATTCAGTCATTCACTTATTTACTCAACACATATTGGTGAGCCCCTGTTATGTGCCAGGCATTTGTTTCAAGTGCTGGGGATCTGGTAGTGAAAAGAGTAGATAAGGATGCTAGTCTTGTTTGGAGGGGCGGGGAATAAGGATAGATAATAATAATAATAATAATAATCACATTGACAAATAAATAGTATAATTCTAGTGTTGTGAAATATATAGAATGGCCACCAAACATTGCGTGGTTAGGAAAGACCTCTCTTTTAGATGATATTTGGGCTAAGACCTGAAGTTTGAGAAGTAAGTTAGGCAGAGATTTGAAAGAAGAATGACTCTGAAAACAAAAAGTGTGAAGGGGCCTGAGGAAGAACTCGAAGTGGTAGCCGGTCTCCAAGATGGTGCCCAAGGATCTTTGTCTCCTGGTATTGGAGGCTTTGTGTAGTCCTCTCGCACACTGAATGAGGTTCACATGTGTGACCATTGAAGT